TTTTCAACAATTTTAATTGAATCGAATGAAATACTCAGAATGATTTTTCTTTTGAATAGCAATACGTTTTTTCAACAGATAATCAGGATATAATTATATACCCTCCCCCACCCGACCTCATAGTAAGGTACGTGAATGTTATTCAATAGAATATAATAATATTTTATTAGTTAATCATTTGATAGAGTAAAAGGTATACATACATGTAAAAAAGTTAAGAACTGACACGAAGGGGGCACGAAATCGTGATACATGTACATGTTACACGAAAACAAATATCAATACATGTAGGTCACAGTATGATTTCCTATTCAGTGTGTATCGTCCTAAACATGCATGAAATATTTGCCACTGGACGTTAAGTGACCATCAATCAATTAACCTATTCAGTGTAAATCAATAAGATTTTCAAAATTTACACACGAATATGTAAAATCTGGCTTTATTTTAAAGTGTTATGAAAGTTTTACATTAAAATTCATCTCGCATATATGATAATGTCTCTGTATTGTAGCTATAAATTAACAAAACTTCACATTATTTGTTTCTAAAATTAAAATTCGGGCAATGAAGATTGTTTTTTACACCTATCATAGATTGAACTTTAAAAAATAAATTCCTAAATCGACAACAGAAACTATCAGACGAATATAATTTTGAAGTAAATTATAGTTAGCATTTTTATCAAGGAAAATAATGACCTCACACAGGTCATTATTTTATGCCTTGGAGCATATTTCATTGAAACATGGTATCGTCCGGGTTGATTCTTCGAAAGAATGACTTATCGTTCTGAAAGAAAATAACTCCATATAGGTATATAAGTTTACTTAATGACAGAATAATTCCTGCTTTAAAGTCAAGTTTTCATCTTTCCTCCTGAGAAATCCCCTATAAAAATGCTGACTTATGCGACTGTCATCCATAAAGAAATGCATGTACCAAGTCAGGAATATGACAGTTGTTTTCCATTCATTTGATGTGTTTGATCTTTTGATTTTGCCATTTGATAAGGGACTTTCCGTTTTGAATTTTCATTGCAGTTTGGTATTTTTGTTATTTGTTATTTTACTTTTTACTTAACTTCGCTTGCAGCAGTTGATATCTGGACCACTTCTGGTTGGTAAGTCTGAATTTATTTTTACCTACCTGCCATTGCCTTTAGTATTATAACTTACAATCAATCGAGGAGATTATTATGTTTCTGCAAGACCAGCTTACCTGCAAGGAAAATCAACTTCCTACCAATCTGTCCCGACATTAGACATAAGAAGCTTCAAACAACTTCAAGATATATTTGCTAGCAAATCAATGTAACATATGGAAAGCTTGTACAGCATCTTTACTGTCCACACTTATTGATGGTTGTCTTGAGACAGGGATAATCTGTACAAAGGAGAAGTGAAAGGTGTCATCGCTGCTTGCATGATCATTTGCTTCTGTACTGGCATCGACTTGCTCTACAGTATAAAGAAATTCTGTTTTGACAGCACATCTGACTGCGTATCCCTAGAGGAAATTTATTAAGCTTTGAACAAAGACTGGGGGTATAACATAGTGGAGTAATTTGTAAATAACAATGCAGGAAAGATTAGATCAACTGAAAAAAATCCCCTTTTATCAGTCTCTTAAACAAAGGGTTCTCACATTTCCAAAGTTTGGAACTGATGCAGGCGCTAAAGATGAAACAATACAGAAACTGGCTGAATGGTTATCCAGATTTGTAGTTTCAACGTTTGAAAACGGGGTAAAACCCACAAAAAGATGATGAACTATGTAAGTTGTTTACTTACTTGAAAAAAAAGATATTCAAAGGGCGGAACGTCATTTGTGTGCATACCACGCCGGATAGCGGGACATTTGAAGGTTATGGTGGTTGGGGTATGTCACTGGGAGCGTCAGCAGATGGAAGAAGGAAAACAATGCCAATTGCATCAGATTTCAATATTTTTCCGGTAATTCAAGATGGAGAATGTAAACCATCACAGAATGATATTTACGCGTAAGTTCTTTAGACGATTAGATTTTTATTAAAACCATTCGACGAAACATCATTTTCTTTATGTCTACGGGTTTTTGTTCATACCCACATTTTTTTTCGTTCCCTGCTCAAATTGTCAAAACAACGGTCTTGACCTAATTAGTATGTTGTGCAGATTAATGGAAAATTAAACCACTTCAGATTTTGCTGTCAAATTTAATGCTATTTTCTCAGAATACTAAAATAAATGAATTGTTTGAAATTAAGCCTAAGTTGTTTTTGTTAAACATTTCAAACATGTGAAATTACACAAGAATTTCATAAAGATTAAATAGGAACAGTGAATTTTTGACAATTTGCATATTATGAAATATTCATAGATAAACCATTTGAAAGCACCACAATTACATTCTTTTTATCTTATATATAAACAAATGGAAATGAGATTTCTTTAATGCAATATGCAATTTTAAAGATTCACTATGACGTCACTGAATGCGACTTATCACCGAATATTTACTCGAGCAATACGACGAACGCTATAAGCGGAGCATGATCTGCTTAGCAACTCAAAAACCTGTGATCACCATTCTTTTTTGTTGCTGCTCTTTCTTTTAAATATAGTGTTTTGTAGACCGCCGTGTTTTCTGGCATTATGTAGTCTATTGTTTTTCGTATTTTGATTTTTAATTGCCCTTATTACAGTTTTTTGTTGTCGTTGTCTTGTCATTCGAAATTTATATTATTTACCAATGTTATACTTTAAAGGTCTATGCGCAATTTGAATTATGACAAAACAAAAACCGTATTTTCAAAAGCAGCAGAAAATGATATTAATATTCACGAAAATTTTCTGCAAGAGAAATTCGATAAATTTATCAAAAGTTATGTTATAAAAAGACAGCAAGATTGTTGCAAACATAACAGGTGAGATAAAATAATATATTGACATACTGATTACAAAAATAACGCGATTTTTATAAGGATTTATTTGGTAAAGGATAAAAATTATTACAGGGTTTTGCCTTGTCCCGAAGAACACAATAAATGTTTACTTTCCCAATAAAAAATGTTTTAATGGGCGTTGTAATGTTTCTCATTTGATACTTTATTAAAGCTTGTATGTTATATTATAATTTGATGTTATATAAGCAAAGAAAACAAATGGACTCTCTCTATCTCTCTCTCTCTATATATATATATATATAGCAAAGAGTCTAGGTGGCCGAGTAGTCTACAGCGCTGGACACAGTGCAGGCGGTGTTGTCTCGATATCCCAATAGCATGAGTTCGAATCCCGGCGAGGGAAGAACAAAAATGTGCTTCCGCAAATTTGCAGATTAACATTGTTGTGCTGATATTTAGAGTAATTATGTATATATAGCAAAGTATACATAGGCAGCACAATCGATGATTATATTAAAATATTCAGTTGCCTAATACTTTAGAATTTGACAAATCAGATGTTCCTCATGTAGTATTTGTAGTTGTTATCGAAACATATATAAAAATATAATTTTCAAATTCAAATTTTAAGCAATAAGTTTCATCAACGAAATTTTAGTTATGCATCAAATTCACGTTTTCAGAATAGTACTGATTGTTAAAGCATGTACGTTACAATCACTAATCTTCGATATTATCATGATATGAAAATTCTATGTTTTTGTAATGTTCATAGTTTGCTGATATGACTGGACAAAAAGAAACCGACAACGACATGGTAAAAAAACAAATACGAAGAACGACAAACAAAAGTAGACAAAGCAAACTACACGCAAAAACTAGACTGAACAACATGAACCCCATCAAAAAACCGGACCGATTTTGTGATGTCTTGAAGGGTAATCAGATCCTACTCAACAAATTTTATTCGTCGTGTTTCTCATGGTAAGTACACATTTGGTGATGTCACAATCGAACAAAAGAGGACGGAATTGTGGTCACAGTGATATTCCATAACAGTCAACCAACTCGAGAACGCGTTCATAATACAATCAAAGGGATGATTTCAAATAAATCATTGCAATAGAAACTAAAGTCTAAAGATACCAAAGGGATATTCAAACACATAAGTCGAAAACAAACTGACAATTCCATGGCAAAAAGGGAAAAACGATCAAAAGACAAATTACATTTTACAAAATAAAAAATCGAAAATTAAAAGACTGAGCAGCTCAAACAACACCAAAGTCCAGGGGTGATCTCAGGTGCACTGGAAGGGTAAGCTGATCCTGCCCCACATGTGACATCCGTCTTGTTGGTCATGTTAGTACAAGCCCATTGATAAGTATAATTCGGTAGGTCACATTCGAAATGAAGAGGACGCGATTGTAGTTACAACAATTGGTTCATAACTGTAGTTATCAGTTTTCCATAATGGTCAACCAACTCGTGATTGAGTTCATTTCATATATGTAACAATGGAAAACCATCAGCGAGGAGTGCATCAATGCAATATTTACTCAAAAAGTTTATCCGACCATTTACGAAAGAATACAATGAAAGTTCCAGTGTCTATATATATTATAGTTATACGTTACATAAGCAACGTTGCAAGATGTAAAAAAAATATACAATATTAGGAAATTTCTAAGGCGGCATATCAAATTCACCAACCTAGATATAATATTTTGGTACATTGTACCAAATAAACCCGAAACACAACTCTCAAAAATCATTAGAATAAATTAGCATATCTGAGAGATCGTCTATTAGTCCAAATACAATGAAAAAATTTTACTTTTACATCGCAAGAAAGAGAAACAGTACACAAAACGACAAAATCAGAAGTTATAATCTAAAAGGTCTTATAGTTCTTGTTTTATAGGAGAAGAAAACAAATATTAACTGTTATAGACGGATACAAATTATTACAAATTGCGTATAATCGATTAAGGTAATGTCTGTTTTCATGACAAAAAATATATAACACAAAAATTGTTTTGTAAAACTTTTAACCCGAAATCATTTTACAAACTGTGATGCATTGAAGATTAATAAAAAAACATATAACAAATAACAGTTAATCTGTTTTAATATTTGAAAAAAAGAATGGAATTATTCAAACAATTTTCTTGTTTAGATGGAAAATATTACGTAGCATTATTCGTTTATTTAATAGGAATTCTGGTAAAGACATTCTTTCCAATGTTGCTGTTCTCCCACATATCTGTATATTTCTTGTAACTAGTCAGTATCCAGAAGGTATATATTTTATCGGTATCTTTATAATACATTCCCGTAAAGCTACTTGTAGAATTCGAGTTACCATATGCTTCATTGTTCCATGCTACCACAAATCCTACGATACAATTCTTTGGATCCTGATCAGGAATTGTAAATCTTCCAGATAGAGGATAATAATCTTTAGCAGCACCTACTGCACTGTTATACTTTCCGCTGATTTCTCCTGTTGAATTCCGATCCGGCAAATCTAGTTTGCAAGTAATTTCGACCTCCGATCCAAGCTCATTCACCCATTTTCCAGTTATTCCGCAAGGATCACAAGTGTCCTTATTATCTGCACTACAGGACGTTCCTGTAATATAAGAAAATAAACGTTTCGTACAGTAAAACAATTCCCTTACATCATAGGGGCTAGTAAACTAGTCGAACAATTCCAGTGAACGGCACGTGTTCGTCAGGAACATTAAAGATCAAAAGCTTGAAAAGCTTGAATGATTAAATATTTTGAAAAAAGGAAACAGATAGCCATAAGTATAAGGTCAATTTTGTGCGAGGAAGTTGCTTATATATATCTGTATTTATATAATGGTAAATACTGAGGATTTTCTACCCCCCATGAATAAGTAGCTCTATTTGGCAAAACGTTTCGGAATTTTGGGTCTTCAATGCTCTTAAACTTCGTACTTAATTTTGCTGTTATAACTTTATTCATTCGAGCTTCACTGGTAAGTCTTTTGTAGATAAAACTCACGTCAGGTGTACAAATTCAAATCCTGGTATTTTGATGAGTTTAATAAGACTAATTATATATAAATGGCTACTAGGCGACTGCTACATTCGGAAACGGATATTCCCTCGGTATTTGTTTGCTGCTTTAATTTGTCTTCTTAATCGATTTATGAGATTTGAACATCGGTAAACCACTGTTGATACCAAGGGGTACCAAATTAAGGCACCAGAAGATACCGATATTCAAAACTCATCAATAGATAACGAAGACAAATCAAGGGTAACAAGCAAAAAGTAATGGCATGAGATCCGAGACTACAAAAACAACATACCCTCCTGTTTACCGAGTACATAGAAAACTGCAATACCAATAAGGAAAATTTCCACTCTGAACATTGTTTCCTTTTCTTAGAACCACGTTGTACCAGTAACTATACAGTATCAAGTATAATAGCAACCATGAGTATAATCATAATTAAAGCTGTAAAACTTATTACAATAATGTTATATTTTATAGCAAAATATAATCATATTTGACTCCAGAGACGAAAACAAATAAAAACAAAATAAAAACAAACCCCCCCCCCCCCCCCCCCCAAAAAAAAAAAAAAACCCTTTTTCTTTATTTCATGAAACACTTATCATGCTTATCGAATACTCGTAATATCCCACGGAAATAACAAAGATGTGACAGAAAGTTTTTGTCAGTATTTACATGATCCTTTTCCTAATTATAAAACAAAACTTTTAAATTTCCGCAAATTATTAAACTCTCCGCTATTATCGTGAATCAGTGAAATAACAAAATATACAGAGAAAAGCACATAGCAAATACATTTACAATAAGCACTGCAAAACGTCGTTTTTCTATTGTCGACGTCATTACCACTGCATGACACTTCCTAAATCGACACGGCGCCAACGAGGACAAATTTAATGGGACGTAAAAGGTTTAAGGAAGAAGATCGAAAACCTTACTGACTAAAACACGAGTTGTTGATCGTTACCATGATCTGTGTCACATATGACTACTATGGATATATTCCAATTGTAGTAACCACAATCTGTCCTCTTTTCATCGATTGTGACATCACAGAATGAGTCCTATCACCAAATTTGTAATTACCACGACGAGTGAAATGTGTGGAGCAGGATCTAATAACCCTTCAAGTCAACCTAAGATCAACCCGGTATTTGGTGGGGTTCGTGTTGTCTTTAGTTTTTGTATGCCGTGTTTATAAACTATTGTTTGTCGTTCGTCGGTATTTGTTTTTATGGCCATGTTTTCGGTACAAATTTTATTGAACCAGATACATGTACTCAGTTCGACAACGAATGTCTATTTAGTGATGCTCTTGGTTATACTATTTGAAAAACCAAACTTATACAAACGTTGAACATGCTGAAGAGCTGATGAAGCAAAGAAAATTCGAAATTTCGTAAATTCTGATAATTTTGTAAATTAGAATTGACATTATTTAAGAAATATTTAAGCAATAAATCATACAAGCCACAGATATTTCACATTTCCTGGCCGTTATATTCGATATGTATTACGTTTAACCGAAGCAAAGATAAGTTTGCCGTGTAGATGGCTATAAATCTATAGCTTGCATGAACTATGTCTTAAATAACCTTTAGTAAAAAATCCTTTTAATTCCCAACTCAAACGTTTATTTCGTTGTCTACTGTTTACCGTCAAATCGACGGTTGACAAATCGTAACTAAGGAGTGAGTCGCCATCTTGGCTTGCTGAAATCCATAAATGTGTGAGTAATGCATTAGAAAATAAGACAAAACCTTCCTCAAAACTTCATTTTAATGCAATATAGTACGGAGGTTACATGTAACGGAAAATCATGCAGCTTGAGAGTTCATTCGGACGACGTCGTGTTGTGAAATGACGTTGATTCACCAAAAATTTCATTCTACTTTAATTTTGAACATTTACCCAAGAACTAGGGATTTAATTTTTTTTGTAATGCATAAGGAATAAAAATAAAGGTGATGTAATTTTTTTTCAATTTCAATTTTAACACAGCGAAATTGACATTTGTGTTTGCACATCGGTTACGATAAATGTGGATTAACATCAGAGGTAAATTGTAGCTGCTATTAATTTGTACATCTCTGAGTCTGCGTTAAATCTTGATATATCGGGAATTTTATCACACTGTTGTTTACAAAGCCAAAGTAGCACACCATATTAGAATACTAAACAACAGTTTATCCGAAGCATTCATGTAGACCTTACTTATTCTTTGATTAAAAGACTTAAGAATAACTTACCTATAACATATACTATGAAAGCCGAAAACAAGACTCTTCTACAATAGCAAAATGGAGCCGGTTTTTATTCCATTTCAATTGAATGCGGACACATGAAGGAGTGGTATAAATGTATTTTAAAACCTAACTAAAATAGAACAGAGTCAGCTGAAAATATACAACCACAAACATTTAAAATCTGTTCCAGGATGTTTTTGGGAACGTATCGACATCCTGTTTAAGTACATTACATAACTGTGGTCATGTAGGCGTTGAAAAAGTACTTATTTAGGTCAGATTGCCTTGTCCACGTATATTAATCCGTTTTTGACAAAATAAAAAGAACATATATATATATATATATTAACGTTTATCGAAAAGTAGTGTAACTGTCATAAGAAATACAAGCCATAATAATTTTACCCCAACCCTAAGTCGTTAGCTGAATGTTGCAAGTAAATTAGTGTATATTCATTAGAACCAAATAATTTTTCACTCGATTTTCGATGTTTTTTCTGTCATTGATTTCGTGCTTTCGTCATCTCGATCATGATGTGAAAAGAAAAAATATATGCTGTATAAAATTCCAAGGAAATACTTTTCATTAATAAAATTTAGAAAACAAAATACGTTCCATATAGATAAAGCAATTGTGATGTACAACTCAATCGAGAGGCTAAAATATGATATTGAGGTACTGCATGACAATTTCAATGGATCAACTGCGAAAAATAGTAAACATTTATCACGTTCAATAATTTGTTAAAACGACCGAACTTGACAAATGTTTCAATTTTATTGAAGAAAGAAGGTTTCAAAACGAATGTTCAAGAATGAAATAGATAGTTACGGTGTGATTTTAAACATTATCTGTGATTTATATGATATTTTATAAAATGTTGAAATGCACTTGATCACTTATAAGTGCTTTTCTGTGGTATTTTCTGTACAGAAGTTATATTCATGTTGCTTAAATTTTGATTTTTTATATTACAATTTCCCAATAAATCCTCATCCCTTCTTCTTCATGTTCTTATGGGATTCGTATAAGTAATGTTTAAAGGACTAGCCATTATAGGGAAAAATCCTTCTCCCAATGAGCAAACACGATATCGTATAGTCAGTTTGAAAGGCACCCGACATGACAAAATGAGAAATAATTCGAACTAAAAAACCCACAGCTTGATTTATGACAAAAACAAATTTGCAGACAGTATCCAACAACAACCGATAAATTACAGGCTCCTGACTTGGGACAGGCGGGTATTGAATGTGGCGAGATTAAACATGTTTTCAAGTGCTCAACCCTCCCCAAGACTGGGACAATGGTGTTAGAGCACAACAAAAAGAAAAACACTTTAAAAATTATTCGTAAATGGTATGACTCAAAGTATGGCACGAAGGGCATAACACAACTAATATACAAAAGACAGCAATATACAGATTTTGTATAAAAAATGTCATAAACAGTCTGACAAAAGTATGACCTTATGCAATTTTAACACTTAAGAACATAATATCGTCAGGATGTACGACCACTTGTTTCATCAATGAATCCTTATACATATTTTGATATGTTTTAAATTATCAAAAACAAAATCAATGCTAGAACCGATAAAATAAAATATAAAAAGATCTGTATGATTTCAGCTTCCCAATTGTGAACTTTCCATTTGTAGCAATATTCAAGCAGCACCTGCAGCATATGGGGTATATATCTTACCACTGATACGATATTCCATAGCTTGCATTTCCTATCATGACTCACTTGATAGAGGGTTGTGCTTACAAAGAAACTATTTAACCAAGAGTTACAAGAGGTGAAGTAGAAATCATCCTTCGCAAGTTTTACGGATGCCATCACGAGGTGGTTGACCGTAACGTAACATCTGCTTCACAGATGACGACAGATATATGTTCCCATTGTCATAACCACAATCCTGTCCTCTTTTCCTCGAATGTAACGAATGTGACCTACATAAAAAGACTTATTCTGCAACATATGGTCTTAAATCTTCTCTACAAACCAGGATTGTAACTGTTTCACACATAGCACAGCCACTACAACAGTTTCCGTTAAACCTCGACTTTCTAAGTTTGACATATTCAAAAACCTGCATGAGTATATAATGGTGAACAAGTAAATAAAATCATGGGAAGTCTCAAAGGAAGATACTAGTGGTAATGATAACTGTAAATATTTAAAAAAAATATGAAACCTTGGAAATGGTAACAATGACGTTAGTTTACTAATTACAAATTTAGTAAACAAAGGCTACAAATTAAAGGAATATCAGGACAGATCTATATGAAGAATAGACCTTCAGGAGAAATTAAGAAACATAAACAAATAATAATGAAAATGAAAAAAAAAAAAAAAACTAACAAAAATGATATGATTTCCTTTCACACAACAGGTGTTTCTGATATTAATTTCCGTATTTAAGCTCGTGACCAAAAGCTCAGGAAGGCAAAGTATTAAATGCTTTCGCTAACAAAGCTAGACAGCTTAGCATAGAAAATTTGATGAGAGACACTTGGACGGTGGATGGAAAATATTTCGTTAAGGACAATCAACTACAAGTCCATGTTGTCAATACCATGTCATGTCATCAACGACAAGGTCTTCAGACACAAACAATCAAACCTCTGGTGACCACATGTCTTAATAAATTACATCTTACTGTTCATATTAAAACAATTGTATATATATCTATGATTATTAAGATTTAAATCCTTTTTGACATCATCCATAAATTAAAATAATCACATAATCTTCCATAGTTGTAATCAAAAGGGTCAAGGTACAATTTATTTAAATCATTACTGTAATTATATTCTTTTCTTCCAAGGACCTCTTAAATCTGTTCTACAATGTAGCTTGTCGTTTCGTTCAGAATACTCTTGATAATTTTATAAGTATGAACTGCTCTAATATATGATGATGTCAAATAGTTTGCTATTGTTTCTTTTGATTCTTGTGCTTAATTCGTTTTTTTTTCTCTCATTTTCGAGTTTACATATATCTGATTATTACTAATACACACCTTGTCAAGGCTATGTAAATTATCGTCAGTCCTGTTAATAACACGCGAATACTTACCTTGATCGCTGATCTGTCACGTGACAGACGTAAACGTATTGAATTCTCATAGTAAAATTTATTACTCATGCGTGAAAATGATAAAAGTATAAACGGCTGTTTTACATGATGTTAAAATCCTCGCTCAGTATAAAATAGAACAAAATCAACCTTCAGGCACACCAGTCCTTTAACATGTTTAAGGAGAAATCGCATTCAATTTGTTAATATTATCGTAGACAGGAACTTTAAACAACACGTGCAGCGAATTGCACTGCTGATTAACGTGTATGCTTACTATAGTGTAAAATGTATAGTCAGATCTTGACAATATCAGCGATCAAACAATCAATCAATCATAAATAAAATAGAGATGATTTGACACGATTGTCTTTAACTTTTATTTTGAATTAATATGTAGATGAAAGTTTTATCATTCATCAATTATAGTTATACATGTGTATACTCATTCCTCCAAACTATTTGTTCAATCCATGTACATGTGCATCCCTTTTCTTTTGTTTCATGCATATTACATATTGTTATTCAATTTTTGTTCTCACAAGTTTTTTATATTTTGTACTTACACTCTTTTCACAATACAGACGAAATGCTATGATTTATTCAAATTTGTATACGGCCGCTCTCAGTTTGACCAATTTCAACCAGATGTAACATGGGGGTGGGAATTGAATTATATATATTCTCTTGATATGGCGTCCAATGATAATACTATTAATTACATAATGGCCACAGGCGATTTTAACGAAAACCAACTAGCCCCTGTCAATTAAAATAAATACATCTTTGTTAAGCCAATTAAGTCTCACTCAAATGATAGATGAACCGACTCATTTTACTGAATCGTCGTCATCATTGTTAGATCTTTTTATAACAAACGATGCTCACATAATAACATACTGTGGAGTCAGACCACATTTATTAGACCAAATACGTTTTTACTGTCCTGTAATTAGTCTTTTGAACTTTCCAAAACTTTTAAGCGACATGATCACGGAGATTATGACAGATATCGTAATATCTTATCCGAAAAAAATTGGGATTCCGTAATAAACTAACGTTGAACAATTTACAACTGAAATAACAACAACTTTCATAGAGGCCCCTGAAAAATGTATTCCAAATAAAATAATAACTGTTCGGAAAAATGAACCTCCATGGCTAACAAATGATATTAAAAAAAGATAAGGAAAAAAATAGAATCCACAAAAAGGCTAAAAAATATAATAACCAATCGGATTGGACAAAATTTAAGAAAATACGAAATGAAGCTACTAGCTTAATAAGATAATCAAAGGATGATTTTAACAACAATTAAATGGAAAAAATCATGAACAGTAACCCGTCCACTACTAATTGGTGGAAAACGGTCAAACAATTATCCGGATTAAAAACAAACGATTCAAGTGTACCTCCATTAATGGTTAATAACAACTTAGTATTTGATGAAATCGAAAAGGCAAATGAATTTAATCGGGTTTTTTTCTTCCCAGTCAAATATTGATGACTCAAGTGCTATGTTACCCGAAGAACTTCATAATATTAGTCATGTTAGTGATGTCATTAGTAATATAGAACTTACTGTTACTGAAGTTGAAGATTGTTAACCCCACAAAAGCTTCTGGTCCACTCCTCATAAATCCCAAATTATTAAAAGAAGCATCTTCTGTGTTAAAGTATCCATTATGTAAGCTATTTAACTTGTCCTTAAGTACGTCTACTTTTCCAGATCAATGGAAAAGCGCAAATGTTACCCCAGTTTATAAAAAAAGTAAACCGAATGACGTGAATAACTATAGACCTATTTCTTTGTTGAGTATAGTTTCAAAGTGTACGAACGCTGTGTATATAAACATGTTTACAATCATTTAAAGAGTAATAACATTTTCACCAAAAATCAGTCAGGCTTTACACGGGGGGATTCAGCGGTTAATCAATTAATTAATATCTCAAATGATTTTGGAAAAGCTTTAGATAGCGGTAAAGAAATTAGGGTAGTATTCTGTAACATATGTAAAGCTTTTGGTGGAGTCTGGCATAAGGGACTGCTATTCAAACTTCAACAAACGGGCATATCGGGTTCTTTATTA